TCGTGTACTAAAAATACAAAGTTAGCCACGCATGGTAGCACGTGCCTGTAGTCCCAGCTATAGCTACTCAGGAGGCTGAGGCAGGAGAATCGCTTGAAACCAGGAGGCGGAGGTTGCAGTGAGCCAAGACTGTGCCACTGCACTCCAGCCTGGACAATAGAGTGAGACTCTGGTCCCCAGAAAAAAAAAAATGTGGTGTGTGTGTATATATGTATTTATTTATTTATTAATTATGTGTGTATATAGTTTATATTATAAAGATCGTATATTCTCTGTCTATATATATACTTTTTTTTTCAAGTTATTTAGAAACAAGTGTGTTTCCACGTGGTTTTCTTTTTTTTTTTTTTTTTTTTTTTAAACAGAGTCTTTGCTCTGTTGCCAGGCTGGAGTGCAGGTGGCGTGATCTCAGCTCACTGCAACCTCCACCTCCCAGGTTCCTCGGGTTCAAGTGTTTCTTTGTGCATCAGCCTCTTAAGAGTAGCTGGGATTACAGGTGTGTGCCACCACGCGCCCGCTTATTTTTGTGTTTTTTTGTTAGTAGAGATGGGGTTTCACCATGTGCGCCAGGCTGCGTCTGTCTGGCACCTCCTGACCCTCCAGTCGATCTGCCACCTCAGCATCCCAAAGTGCTGGACTTACAGTGGCATGAGCCCACGTGCATCCTGGGCCCTCCTTCTTTTTTTCCCTTTTTTTTTTTTAAGAAAAACAGGGTCCGTGTGTTCTGTCACCAGGCTGATTTGCAATGGGTACCGATCGGCTCCACTGCAGCTTTGACCGCTCCTGGGCTCAAGCGATCCTCCCATCTCAGCTCCAGAGTAGCTGGGACCACCCAGGGCATACACCATCCACACACAGCTAATTTTTTGAATTTGTTTAGAGATGAGGCTCACTAAGTTGCCCAGCTATGGTCTCAAACTCCTGACCTCAGGTGATCCGCCCACCTCAGCCTCCCAAAGTGTGGCGATTATAGGCAGGAGCCAACACGCCCAGCCAGAATATATCTATTTTAAGAACTCTATACTCTATCAAAAGCAAGTTGTAAAAAATATCGGTCAGTCAGTAAAGGAACATTTTACAGAAATCTTAAGTGAATATGTTAGTTTAGCTGCTAATTTCCTGATAAAAAGAAGGGAAATATTCCACTTTCCTTTAAAATCTGGAAAATTATGTTTTTAAAAATTAGAAAAAGAGATTGCTAACAAAAGCTTTACTTATATGACTATAAATGTATGAACTCTCTTAAAATTTGCAGCATCACCAGTGAACATGGCATCTATCTGAAAGAGCAGACGGAAGGGTCTACACATACCTGAAGGGTCAGGCCTTTTTTTCCATTAGGCTCAGATTTTGTCGAATGGGTTTTCGGCTTTGTATTAAAGATAATATTTTTATACCTGGAGGATATTTTAATTTGACCAACAAGAAATACAAGAAATACATTATTAGAATTATTACCTTCATTGACTTTCTCAGGATGCCATCCTGTTGTCCAACCCAGGGAAAACGTCACGTCTGGAAAGAAGAATGTCACGGTGTCTAAAAATGGTTTTGCATCTATTACTTTGCTATTTCCATTTGGACCAGGAAGAATATCGGCATTAATCCATACAGGGCGCTTCAGATGTCTCTTCACATTTTCCAAGAGCATCATGGATGGTTCTACAGCTGCCAGACTAAAAACATAATTTGTTGTCAATGAGAGATTCCTTAGGTAAAGTAAAAAGAAATTCTTTTAGACTAGTGGTCTTAATGTTCTCAAATTCGTAAGAAAAATACAATAATATCTGGGTTAAATAAAATCAGAGATCACATAGCACCAGAGGGAAAAGCTAACATATGCCATATCTCTAAACATTGAATTGTGCTTATTATTCACGAATATACCTTAAACAGTCTATAAGTATATGAATAGTGGCACTACTTGTGGACAAAATAGAGGTTTCAAAACTCCATATTAGAATCACTTAGTGTGAAAACAGTTTTTAAAAAGACACAAATATTAACTTGTTAGAGAATGTATAAATAAGATAAATGAAATACTCTTAATAACCTGTAAATTCACATTTATGAAATACCCAAGTGGATCCAAGCTCTGTATCTCTAATTCAGGCTCATGACACTGGAGAAAAAAAGTAGCTTCTGTCCTTTATGTATTCTTGGGTGAGTTTGGATACATAAACACTATTCTAAAAATGACTGCAAAATATAAAATTATAGTATTTCCTTCAAGTTTCTGTTTCATTTTTCTTCTTTTATTGTAAGAACCTTTTCTGAAAACTAGAAACATGCATATTTTAGTTTAAATTTAAAAAGCAACTTCACTCTTTTTACTTCCCTACATATATTCTAGCTGATACCTACAGACTTTGAAACAGTAGGGTTTTAATCAGCTTCCATAATTTTTACTTGCCTATGTTCATTTATAAGAAAATTACCCTGTAGTGAATATTGTAATGGGAGGCTAAGAATTTTGGAGATGGATATTGGAGGGGAGAACACTCACCAACCCCTCCTCACAGTTCCCTCTCTCTTCCTAAGAGACGGCAGTACTTCTATCTATACTTCTATCTCTCCTCTCTCCACTCCATTTGGGCCGTCTACTCTAAGAGGAGAAATTTAAATAATCTTATTATTTATTGGGTTACGTTTGCCAGTGAGCAAGGATACTATGTACTAAAACCAGAGGAACCCAGGCTCTATCCCTTAGCCTCTAGCCCCTTTCCCTCTGCTCCCATGTGGTACATTTCCTTCTCACTCTTCTGCCCCTGAATGGAGGGCCTAGATTTTAGTGGATTAATAAACCCTAATGCTGGACTCTGCAGACTTTAATTCAGACGCTGCCATTTGTCTCTTTTAAATTCTCCCTGCCTTGCCCTGTGTCATATGTTAAAACCACAATTCTGAGATCCAACGCTGTACCTCCTACAAAATTCCATTTTTGGTAGCAAGCAACTTGTACCTGTGACTCCAAAGTTTGCTTGCCTGTCAGTAACACAGCAGCAGCCAAGCCCCCATGAGGTGCTGCTTTTCATGGGTGGAGTAAGGACAAACCTTAAACTAATCCATGCATGTCTCCTGCCAAGCTCCTCTTTTTCCAGAAAGGACTCTGATTTCTTAAGAAATCTGGTGTCCATGGGATCTGGGTTAAATACTAATTTCCAGTTTACATTTCAGGAGGGAGCCTCTTAGGCTTTCTCAATTTAGTAAGCTGCCATAGAGTGGTTTAAGATCGATCCTCCAACTGATAATATCCAGTTTCTTTTTTTTTTTTTTTTTCGTTTTGAGATGGAGTTTCGCTCTGTCACCCAGGCTGGAGTGCAACAGCGTGATCTCAGCTCACTGCAACCTCCACGTCCCAGGTTCAAGCCATTCTCCTGCCTCAGCCTCCCAAGTAGCTGAGATTACAGGCATGTGCCACCATACCCAGCTAATTTTTGTATTTTCAGTAGAGATGGGGTGTCACCATGTTGGCCAGGCTGGTCTTGAACTCCTGACCTCAAGTAATCCACCCACCTTGGTCTCCCAAAGTGCTGGATTACAGGCATGAGCCACCGCGCCTGTAATCCAGTTTGAAACAGCGTATTCTCCCACAAATCGAAATTCCACCAGTGTTTACTAAGTGCCTACTACATGCGAAGCACTGTGCAGTTAAACATAAGGAACTATGACAAAGAACATAGTGAGGCAAGAATTTAATACGTTTATTCCATTCTATATGTAAATGTTTTAATTATCACTAATGTAGACTAAGGATAATGATATTTTCCCTTACCAGAAACTTAAATAAGAAAAACAAAGCCTGCAGTTAAACAAATTTAAAACCTCACTACAGAACCAAAAACTTTTTATTGTAGTTCTTATTTTCTAAAACTTGACAAAGTAATTTTAAAGTTCTTCTGGAAGAAAAGGTGTAACATTTTGTGGGAGAAAAAAGGACTGAGGACAAACTTTCCTAAACAACAAAATAAAATTACAGTAGTCCCCCTTATCTGCAGGGAGTATGTTCCAAGACCTCCAGGGGATGCCTGAAACCACATAGCACCCAACCCTATATGTACTCTGCATTTTTTTCCCTACACATACCTATCTCTGATAAAGTGTAATTTATAAATTAGGCACAGTAAGAGATTAGCAACAAAAACTAGTAATAACAATTATAGTTTGTTAGAACAATTATAACAATATACTATAATAAAAGTTATATGAATGTGGTCTCTCTCTCTCTCTCAAAATAGCTTACTGTACCCTACTCACCCTTCTTGTGATCTGTCAATCTGATAACCGTGACGGCTATTAAGTGACTAATAGGTGGGCAGCATATACGATGTGGATACGCTGGACAAAGGGAAGGGATGAGTCACATCTCAGGTGGGATGGAACGGGAAAGTACAAGATCTCATCACATTGCTCAGAATGGTGTGCAATTTAAAACTTATTAATTGCTTATTTCTGGAATTTTCCATTTAACACTTTTAGACCATGGTGTACCGCAGGTTACTGAAACTGCAGATAACAGAGGACTGCTGTATACTACAAGAAATAACAGACCCAGCCTGGAAGGCTCAATATTGCATGGGTTATAAAATAGACACATCCTTCTAAATCTATAAATTCCATGTAATTCTAATTTAAAATACAGTGGCCAACATTCTCAATTCTTACATATATTAGTACTAAGTTTCCCATAAGGAAGTGCCAAAGCTTCACCAAGATGATCATCGAAGAGGAAAGTCCTGGTCGGAATACTACCAAAAATTGCTCTTTGGTGGGATTTATTTAAGTCTCCTGAAAAGAATATAAACTTAGTTATTATAGAATATATTTTTTCCTAAAAAGTTATTTGTAAATCAGACTTCTAAATATCATACTCTGCTTTCCTATTAATTTCATTTAAAAATTGAGAGTGATAAAATAAATATCATACTTAAAATTATAACAAACTATATAAAATTGCATTGTTTAAGGGAAAATAATTCTTGGCTAAAACACTGAAGAGTTGGCTAAGACTCCAGATAAAATTTTAAAATATAATACTTGTTTTTAACTTTTGAGACGGCATTTCACTCTTGTTGCCCAGGCTGGAGTGCAATGGCACGATCTCAGTTCACTGCAACCTCCCCCTCCCGGGTTCAAGCGATTCTTCTGCCTCAGCCTCCTGAGTAGCTGGGATTACAGGCATGTGCCACCACGCCCGGCTAATTTTGTATTTTCAGTAAAGACGGGGTTTCTTCATGTTGGTCAGGCTGGTCTAGAACTCCCGACCTCAGGTGATTCGCCCACCTCGGCCTCCCAAAGTGCTGGGATTACAGGCATGAGCCACCGCGCCCAGCCAAAATATAATAGTTTTTATTTGTGTTACCAAATAAAGTAACTTAGAAGCACAAAACAGTAACTACTAAAATTTAACTAACAGGTCATTCAGCTGCTCTTACAAAGGGAGTGAATGTAGCATTCTGATTAAAAGTGTGAACTCTCCAGCCAGGCTGATAGCTCTCTAGTTCCATTAACAACTATGTGACAAGTGGGCTCCTTAGCCCCCTCCACCTCCATTGCCTCATCTGGAAAATGAGGAGCATAACAGCAATAACCTACCTCTTAGGACTGTTACAAGAATTTAATGAAAAATACATGCAATGCTTTTTTTTTTTTTTGAGACGGAGTCTCGCTCTGTCGCCCAGGCTGGAGTCCAGGGGCGCCAAGCCATCTCAGCTCACTGCAAGCTCCGCCTCCCGGGTTCCCGCCATTCTCCTGCCTCAGCCTCCTGAGTAGCTGGGATTACAGGCGCCGCCACCTCGCCCGGCTAGTTTTCTTTTTTTGTATTTTTTAGTAGAGACAGGGTTTCACTGGGTTAGCCAGGATGGTCTCGATCTCCTGACCTTGTGATCCGCCCGTCTCGGCCTCCCAAAGTGCTGGGATTACAGGCGTGAGCCACCGCGCAAGGCCATGCAATGCTTTTAGAACAGTGTCTGACATGTAATAGGTGTTCATATACCTATCAGTTTATATTGAATCCCTTCAAATGTTATGATTGAAAAAAAAAAGAAAACTTGCAAAATCTTTGTTTCAGCGGCTCAGCCCTTTTGTGGTAGCTGCTAGCATTTAAGAATGAATGAGCTGATCTGACTGGTGAGAAGCCAAAGAATATGTCACAGGAAGCAATTCAAAGGGCAAGAGTAAACATGAAAAACTGAGCACACGACAAGTCAAGGAGATCTAAAAGTTTAAGCCATCAAGCACTAAAGATCAAATGCTGTATTTCATGGTGTAGAGAACACTGGACTGGTTTCAGGAAACCTAGGATCTGGTTGTAGCTTACCCGTCAAAGCTTACCTGTTGCCCTTAGGTACATCACTTAACCTTTCTGGAACTAAGTTTCTTTGTCAATAAAATGAAATTGAACCATTCATAACTCAAAAAGCTTATGATTTTTTATTTTTATTTTTTAATCTTTTTGAGACAGAGTTTTACTCTTGTTGCCCAGGCTGGAGTGCCGTGGCACAATCTCAACTCACTGCAACCTCCTCCTCCCGGATTCAAGAGGCTCTCCTGCCTCAGCCTCCTGAGTAGCTGAATTACACGTGCACGCCACCATGCCTGGCTAATTTTCTGTATTTTTAGTAGAGATGGAGCTTCACCATGTTGACCAGGCTGGTCTCGAACTCCTAACCTCAGGTGATCCACCCGCCTTGGCCTCCCAAAGTGCTGGGATTACAGGCATGAGCCACTGCACCCAGTCGAAAAAAAGGTTTATGACCTTAAGATAGTTCTTTAATTCACCAGACCTTGTCAATCCAAATTCCTGTATATCAAGATTTTATATATCTATTAATTCACCAACAGTATAATAAGGTTTATTGGTATATTTTGCCCCATAACAAATGGTTAGAGTCATCTTAAGAATCCTACAAGATTCCAAGTCCTTATTAATTTCTTGAGATAATTCTATTTAAAAATATTACTCAGAGATGAAGTAGGCTTACTGCCAATCCTAGATTTCAATAGCGGCTGCCTTCATAAGCTTTACAGTGTGCTTCTGAAGTGTTGCTGTATATTTCTGGCTTTATCATTTTTACACGGCCAAAATACTACAAAAGTAAAATTTCCTGTGATGGCCACAGTGAAGAAAATGACAACTTACTCTTGCTCTTCAGTATTAATGCCTCCAAATATTATTATTATTATTACTACTATTATTATCATTTGAGAGGGAGTTTTGCTCTTGTCACCCAGGCTGGAATTCAATGGTGCAATCTCCGCTCACTGCAATCTCTGCCTCCCAGGTTCAAGCAATTCTCCTGCCTCAGTCTCCCCAGTAGCTGTGATTACAGGCACCCACCACCATGCCTGGCTAATTTTTGTATTTTTAGTAGAGATGGGATTTCATCATTTTGGTCAGTCTGGTCTCGAACTCCTGACCTCAGGTGATCCGCCCACCTCAGTCTCTCAAAGTGCTGGAATTACAGGCTTAAGCCACCGCGCCTGGCTGCCTCCAAGTATTATTTTTAAGGAACACTTTGGTTATTGGAGAATTCTAAATAATTCCCTTTACAAATGTAATAATATAAATCAAATAGGGTATGCATTAACTAGCTCAATGAATTTCTCCCAGCTCTCTCTCTCCTGGGTTACTTTCTAACAAACGTAACATTTTTAACTTAGCTTTCTGTTGTCACAGTGGTCACTTATGATAAATTCCTTTATAAAAATTAATCTAACTTTAGCCTTTAAGGGTCTCCAAAAAGCAATTTTAGTAAATAACTCAGTGGGTCTTAGGTTCATTTAGGTTCAGTCCTGAAATAGAGTCTACAATCCCATTTTCAGTTTGGATAACATAAAAAAAAAAATAGGTAGTCAGGCACAGCTGTTCATTTTTTCCCAGAAAATTGAATATGTTTATACAAATACCTTTTGAAATCCAGCTTGATGCCTTTATTGCTTTTCGTAACTTCAGTCAGCCACTCCTGTAGAGTATTATCACTGTTTGTTTCAGGGGGATGGGCCATAATTGGCTGGCTGTGTTCTGATCCATCACTTGGAAGAAGGACATCAGCCTCTATCATGTGAGCAGTACCTGTCCAAATAAAAGAACTTCAGTTAATGCTAAGAAAACAGGGCACAGAACTACAGGAGCCGCCATGTTCAGTATCCTTTTGAGGAAGATAAAAAAAAGGAAAGAAAAGTAACACTCAGTGAGCAATGATCCCATGCCAGGCAGTATACAAGGCCCGAACCCGTGGTCCTTATTTTTTAGATTAGCAAACAGATGCCAAGAAGTTAAATGACTTTCCCTAAGTCACACAGATCGTAAGCTTTTGACATACTCTTGAATTTCTTTCTAATACCTAGCAAAGTGCATACAAAATGGAAGGCTTAATGTTTGCTGAATGGAAGGCTTAATGTTTGCTGAAGTTTTCTGGGAATAAAAATCGTACTTTTATCTCCTCAGTCCTCAAATTAGAAATTATGGATATTCATTGCTCATGTTTTAAAGTCCACATTAAAAATTCACTTCTTTGACTTACAGTTTAGTTACTGCTTAAAGGCAGACATCCTTTGAACAGGTAATGAGCTTTAGCAGACACGGTGTAAGTATGTTCAGCCGGCTGTGACAGACTGCCTCCAAGATGGCTGCCAACAACTCCTCCCGTACGTGCACACTGCCCTCCCCATCAACTTCTTCTTCCCTGCCTCCTCAGCTGGGCTGGTCTCTGGTGGGTTGTGGCCATAATTCCCAAAATAACATAATCTCGAATTTTGAAATCCCAGAAGATCAAAATCCCTAAAGTCTAAAATCCCCAAAATCACAATCCCGAAAGATCAAAATCCTGAAAATATTGGAAAAAATAATTTAAAAAACTCTCTAAAATACATTTACTTACATTTTTTTAAGTTTCTTTTTCTTTTTTTTTTTTTTTTAGAGACAGGGTCTTACCCTGTCATCCAGGCTGATACAGTAGCAGCATCGTACTTCACCAAAGCTTTGACCTCCTGAGCTTAGGGAATCCTCCTGCCTCAGCCTCCTGAGTAGCTAGGACTACAGGTGTGTGCCACCATGCCCAGCTGATTTTTTAAAAAAAAATCTGTTGTAGAGAAAGGGTCTCACTATGTTGCCCAAGCTGGTCTTGAACTCCTGGGCTCAAGTAATCTTGCTTTGGCCTCCTCAAGTGCTGGGATTACAGGCATGAACCACTGTGCCCATTCTGTTCATTTTTAAAAGGGCATTTATTTGAGAAACCTATGAAAACATGGTAGAACACTTCAGAGGTCACTTTACACAATAAAATAGGCAAAAATAACACACATTTTTGTAAGCATAAACATCCAGGTATATTAATCAGTTGCAGAGATATAACAGTTATGAGCAAATGAACTGTAGTCATAATGAAATAGCTTAAATAACTGCAGTCATCTGAAATAACTTGATGAATAACCTAAGTCTCTTGACAACATCAGTCAAAAACTGTGATGGGTTGCCATCACACATGTAGTCACCCAAAGAACTGTGATCTTGAGAAATTTTATCTTTCACAAATGCAGATGTACAAATGGATATCTCTTCATTTATTGTGAAAGTTTCAACATTTTTATCAATAAGCACAATGGTTACCTACAAAGTCAATGTTGTGAAAATGCACCTCTGTGGAGTCGAATTTGAAAAAAAAATGCATAAAACAAATTAGAACACTCTAAAAGTCTTTATACAATCTATACCTCCAATACCAAAAACAACGCAAAGATGAAATATGTAGCATAGTGAATTATAAAAAATAATGTTGACAATTTAAAGTAATGGAAATAGCCAAGCATGGTGGCTCACGCCTGTAATCCTAGCAGTTTGGGAGGCCAAGACAGGCAGATCACCTGAGGTCAAGAGTTCGAGACCAACCTGGCCAACATGGAGAAATCCCATATCTACTAAAAACTCAAAATTTAGCCAGGCGTGATGGTGTGCACCTGTAATCCCAGCTACTCGGGAGGCTGAGGCAGAAGAATCACTTGAACCCAGGAGGTGGAGGTTGCAGTGAGCTGAGATCACGCCACTGCACTCCAGCCTGGCCAACAGAGCAAGACTCCTATTTCAAAAAAATTTTTAAAAAAAGATAACTACTAGTGGACAAAAACAAAAAAGAAACTTCGACACATAAAAAAAGTGGGATAGATGATAGGTAATCGCACAAGTATACTCCATAAGAGGTGGCCAACTTGCACTGCAATGAATAGTTGCTTTCTTCTTTCTTTTCTTTCTTTTTTCTCCTTCTTTTTTTTTTTTTTGAGACACAGTCTCGCTCTGTTGCAACCTCAAACTCCTGGACTCCAGGGATCCTCCTGCCTCAGCCTCCTGAGTAGCCAGGACTATAGGCATGCACCACCACACCCTGCTAATTTTTTAAAATTTTTAGTAGAGACGAGGTCTCACTGTGTTGCTAAGGCTGGTCTCAAACTCCTGGACTCAAATGATTCTCTCACCTTGGCCTCTCAAAGTGCTAGGATTACAGGTGAGAGCCACCACAACCGGCCACATTTTTTCTTCTAGGGCATGAGTCTCCTTGGAGAATACATTCAGATTCATTTTCTATGTGGCACTGTTTTTTCTGAACTTCTTCTATGATTTGATATGCACCTGCATGAGTATTCCCTATTAAATTTTCCCATCTTCTGTGCCATGTTTCTATGCTGTTTTGGGTACGTGGAAATCCATTTCACATGCACTTACATGCATAACACAAATTTGGTAGAAACAATACTGATGGTCAAACAGCAACCTCATGGCGTGTCTTCTTATCTGACCATGCATGTCATTATTTTCAAGCCAGTCAGTAATTTCTCTGGCTTCTTCATGCTAATGCAGCTTTAATTTACTAAAAACTCCCGGAATTTCATCAGCTGGAATGAATGCCAATGCAGATCCATAAGGCATTTTAAGCTGAAGTTTTTGTCACTGCCATCTCACATGGCCAATCCACTCATCTGAGTTCTCTGTCAAAGGCATCAGGCTGAATGAAAAAGACAAACTCTACTGGTAACAACTTGAAATTCACTCTTAGAAGCCTTGATTGCACCTAATTTTAAATATATCGTTATGGTTTGGGCATTCAATTAGACATTAGGGATTTTAGACTATGGATTTTAATCTTTCAGTATTTCAACACTTGGGATATGGCATTTGGGATTGTGTCTTTTGGGATTGTGATCAGCACCACTTGTGACCTGCTTTGATCAACAGAAAGTAGTGGAAATAAAACTGTCAGTTCTAGGCCTAGCCTTTAAAACAGCTGGCACCTTCAGCTTTCTTACTCTTGAAATCCAGCCACCATGTGAAGACATTTAGGCAAGATTACTGAAGACTGATAGACCACGTAGAGAGACAGAAGCCACACGGAGGAGAACTAAGACTTCCTATCTGACACAGCATTAAGGCCACTGACGTATGAGTGAGGTCATTTTAGAATTTCCAGGCCCAGCTGAGCTCCCAGATGAGTGCAGCTATATGAACGTCCTCAGCCCGTACTACATGCAACAGAAGAACCACACAGCTGACCCACAAAATCATGAGGAAAAAACACACTACTGCTATTTTAAGTCACTCATTTTTGGGTATTCTATTACACAGCAATAGATAAAAAGCAATAGGTACCTGGAAGTGGAGTGTTGCCATATCAAAAACCTGAAACATGTGGCACTGGCATTGTGACCTGGTGGAGGCTAAGAAAGGCAAGGAGGGAACTGTTCATGGAAGTTGGAAGAGCAGTGCAGAAATTCTTATTGGAAGCTTGAGAACAATAAGCTCGTTTTATTGTTTTCCATAGTGGTAAAACTTCTGGCAACACTGTCACTGCAGCAACTGGTGGAAGACGGAGAGGATACCCAATAAATCTGTGTATTTGGCTGATGAGATTTCCAGGGGAAATGGTGAAAAGTGGCAACTGGCTTCTTTTAACCACTCACGATAAACAATGAGAAGAAAGAGCTAAGCTACATAATTAATGTTTCAGATTTTCAGCAGCATATAGACAAAATATTTCCAACTCAGGACTTCCTGAATTCAAAAATAAAACTGTTTCTTATTCCTGTCCTCTCCAGCTGGCAAGAGATTCTCAAAGTAAGAGACAGTCTTGGGCCAAAAGTTAAATCTAGGGTGTTGCCTGTCTTAGTCTGTGTTATACTGTGATGACAGAATAACAGACTGGGTAATTTATAATAAACAGACATTTATTGGCTCACCATTCTGGAGACTGGGAAATCCAATATCAAAGTGCTGATACCTAAAGAGGCCTTCTCACTGCATTTTCACCTGGTGGACGGCAGAGGGAGAGAAGACCCACTTTCCAAAGTCCTTTTATTATGGCATTAAACCCACCCATGAAGGTGAACCCCTCATGGCCTAATCACCTCCCAGGAGTGTTACACTGGCAATTAAATTTCAACATGAAGCCAGAGTGGTGGCTCACTCCTATAATCCCAGCACTTTGGGAGGCAGAGGCAGGAGGATCACTTGAGCATAGGAGTTCAAGACCAGCCTGGGCAACATAGTGAGACCTCATCTCTACTGAAAAAAAAAAAAAATTAGCCAGTTCAAGATCAGCCTAGGTAACATAGTGAGACCTCATCTCTACTAAAAAAAAAAAAAAAAAAAAAAAATTAGCCAGGCATGCTGGTGGCACAGGCCTGTAGTCCCAGCTATGTGGAAGGCTGAGGAGGGAGAATCGCTTAAGCCTAAGAGGTCAAGGCTGTAGTGAGCTGTGATTGTGTCACTGCACTACGGCCTGGGTGACAGAGTGAGACCTTATCTCTAAAAAAACCAAAAAATTTCAACATGAGTTTTGGATGGAATAAACATTCAAACCATAGCACCACCAGTAAAATATGGCCTCAGTGTCAATATCAAGCCAAGGGTACAACCATACGACCCTTTATTAAGCCCTCAGAAAGAAGGTGCCTCATGTAGCCACATAGCTAGATATGGAATCTTCTGGAATCTTAAGGGTGTTGCCCTCAGTACCTTAACTTGCATACCAAAGTAGAGAGAGGTCTACCTCAAAGAGACTTGGGGGTGTGGCTTCTGATTAAATT